GGGGGGGGGGGGGGGGGGAGAGGATTTCTGACATTATGTGTGGTCAACATGATGGGGAACATATAGGGAATATGCTGACATGGGATGAGGAGGGGTTCAAGATTGACCGAAAATTTGCTGACGTAATACTTGAATGGCTCCCGAGTAAGTCTACCAACTTTTGAGGCTCTTATTCGAAACCCGTCCTAACAATAAGTTCCCAAAGCTTCCATAATTCTCTCCATATTGCATGTTTCGACCATCCCTTTGAATTTCAGAAACTACATGTCACAAATTTCTATGCAGATGTTGCCTTGGGAAGGCAATGCAGGTTGCAATGATTGTGACACACTGGAGGCGCAATTGGCTTTGGCAACGAGAGAATTGAATGTCCATCGATTGAGATATGAAAGACTCAATGAAGTAAATAAAGATTTGACAAATGAGAATAAACATTTGAGAGAGACGAGCATGAGTCCAAAACTAGATACAATCTGTGACGCAATAAAGACAATGACAGGGGATGTTAAAGATATTAAAACGAAAGTGAATTCTCGTGAGTACAGTCCTTTTTTAATCCACGATTCTTGCAAGAATCTGATCATTTAGCCTTGTAGTTTTGTTATAAAAAGGAACTGTTTTGGTTTTTTCATTACAGAGATTCTGGGTGCTGAAATAAACCCGGAAATCAGTGCTATCGATAATATGACTTGTGCACTCGATAAGCTAGAAGAACACGACTCGATGCCTACTGACATCTCCGAGGATCAGGTGAATAGAAACTGCAACAATGAACATAAACATAGGACACAAATAGATTTTGATTGAGTTTTGAATTTTTAACCGAAAATTTATCGTGAAAATACTTGGTATTATTTTTTCTACTCCGACTTCAGCCAATCAGAGGGTACTATTTGAGACTGCCGAACAATTTTATGTTGCATATCTCAATATCCGATTTGGATGTCTTCTTTTCTCATCTGTGCTTTTGTCACCCCGTTATACTACACTCCCATCGGCCGAACTATCAGCAAAAAAAATAATCCGACAAATACCACTCATTTTTTTAAATTGATCGGGTATTTTCCGTAAACTTTCCTGCATAGATACCAAACGTGCCAAATTTTGCAGGGAAAATCCCTCGTACTTTACACTCGGGATTTTAAACTTCAAAAATTTGACACACTCATTCTTAATATGCAACGGAGTTATCGGAAAATGACCGATAATTTTGAAGTACTTGTGATATGTCTTTGGAAAATCTCTGAAATAGTGATAACACACGTTGAAGCATTTATTCCCTACCGAAAATTTCAGTGGTATATACATTAGGACTTTCCCTTGAGAATTTCAATGCCGTGCTTTCTATGTCTAGTCCTACTCCTCACTAAAATCATCAGAAGTTGAAATACACTGAAATGAAAATTCACTGGCAATGGATGATTTATGTTGTAGATTTATTATGGCAATGGCATCTGCGTCGAGAAGAAGAAGGTGAAAGATTTAGGCGGGATTAAAGGTCTACAGAAGCAACTGCATCTCGTTGTTGAATGGTTCTGGCCTTGCAGAGTGTATGAATGGGCCTTGTCTGAAAATTTAACTCCCCATCACATCAAAAATTCATACATCCTAGCCATGCAAAGTTTGTATTTCTTTTCATTTTCATCTCATCAATGTAACCCATCCGACAATTGCAATTAAAATTTCTAATGCTCTTTTACCCTGATTTTCTAAAGAACTCATAAATTCGGTGAAATGGTTGTGCAAAACACAATACGAGGTCAGCAACACAGATATCCGTAGAAAGATCACAAAAATAACAGACATGGCTCGTAGAACCCAACGTTCCATCTTATCCAGGGCCCAGAAGTACATTCCACGTTATTTGAGAACCGAGAAGATGAATAAAGACAAAAGTCGCCAGAACACCGAAGATTAAGAAAAAGAAGAGGAGAGGAGCGTAAGAAATGAATCCAAGACAGATTCTGACTCAGAGGATGATACGAAAAATTCTAAAGGAGCATCTTCCGCTGCTGCTAATCTTACTAAGGAGAAAGTTGAGAAGCAGAAGAAGAGGAAGAAGAGTATTGAGACGAGTCTTTCCACCCCTGAGAAGAAAAGAATGATTAAAAACAGGAACTAGATAGGAAAACAAGTGGTGGAGATTGAATCGAGCAGTGAAAGTGAAGAGGAAGAAGGGGAGGAGATCATAGAGAATATGTACAAGAAAAATCCTGACTCTGAGAATGGTGTCAACATCGTCAAAAAAGTATCTTCCACTGCTGCTGATTCTACGAAGCAGAAACTTGAGAAGAAGAATAAGAGTATTGAAAAGAGTCTTTCTACCCTGGAGCAGAAATGAATGATGAAAGAGAAAGGTGAGGAGTCTTCAACTCCCGATAGATCTAAGGTCAGAACAGGAGATAAACCAGAAAGTAAACCAGGCGCAACAGAGAGTGACGAAGATGACGATGAGGATGATGATAAAGTGAAGAAAGATGAGGATCATGATGGTGAGAAAAAGGATAATGATAAGGATGAGGATGATAATGCTGATGATGTGAAAAATGATAAGGATGATGATGATGCTGAGAAGAAGGATGATGATGATAATGAGGATGATGATGTGAAAAAGGATGCTGAAAAAGTGCCGGATGATACTGACAACGATGAGAATGTGAGTAATGGAGGGAACGACGATGGGAAGAAAGAGTCAGGAATTCAGCAACCTAGTGATGACAGTGACGCGACTGACGAGACTTCTGTTGAGACTGAGGAAATAGAAGAAGGCTAAGTGTTGGAGAGGAAGGTTTCATGTGTCATTTTAGGATTTTGTTTGAAAAATAATCTCTTCCAAAAACCTATGATATTGTAAGCTATTGATGGAATGCAAATTGTACTCTATTTTATTTTTTTATAAAACATTTTTCCATCACACTGAAGCTTGAACGAGACTATCAACTAATCCAATATTCCATATGTACAACCTCATAATACAAACTCTCATTTTGAAAGGTATGTTATTACCGCTGAATCGAAGTATCCTTGATCATGACATTCCTCGATTTTCCAATTTTGTGTAAATGAATGAAGAACCTACAATTTAATGAAGTGATTTCGGGGAAGTCGCTTTTAGAAAATGTATAAATATCTGGAGAAGTATACGGATTCTAACCAATTCATTCCTCTTCCAATTTACAAAGTAACACTGCCCCATGACAAGTTGACGAGTCATGCGTATTTTTCCACTTTTTCTTTATTTAATTTTTTTAATAAACGTTACTTAGTCGGATAAGTTCCAAAACTTATCCGATTATTTTCTCTACTCGGATTTCAGCCAATCAGAGCGCAGTATTTAAGGCTGCAAAACAGTTTTATTTCGAATATGTATGTGTGACTTTTGAGTATGTCGCCGTTACCCTCATATCTTTCATCACAATATCTGGAGGTAGCTCTCATTTTTTCCACATTTTCAACTGACTTCACATTGGACATTGTGTGTGGCAATCTATCAAAAGTGGATTATTATTCTCAAATGAGTCTGGATCATGTCCACTGACACTTTGATTTGCCAAAATCTGAGTGTAAAAATAATCCGACAAATACCACTCATGATCTAAAATTAATCGGGTATTTTCCTCAAACTTCCTTTCCTCGTGCTCAGCACTCGGGATTTTGAACCTACAAAATTTGACACATTCTTTCCTATGCAACGAAGTTATCGGAAAATACCCGATAATTTTGGAGCACTGAGGGTGGAAGCCCACGGAACGAAGCTCACACAGAAAGACATCAATGTAACCAATCAAATTGTAAAACTTTCCCACCAATTTTATTTGCACCATTCTATGGGTTACGTTCGATGTGCCTTCACCATGAAATTAATATCACTCTAACGTCCCCGCAACATCCACGGGTATTATTCAATCCTCAGTCCCGGGAGTGTAAAAATGAGGTCCCACGGGCGTTCTGAACCCTACATTAAATATCTCGAAGACGTCTTCAAGTCAGCCTATAATTACGGGATCTTGTCCTGGAAATTTGGAACAGACATGCTGCGGACGTCGCGAAATCCGGAATAATCGTCTTAAAGATATCCGTAATGCATCTCCGAGTCTCCCTAAAATTATGATATTTTGTCCTGAAAAGCGAAAGCAGACGTCCTGTGGAAATCCTTTACCCTCGTGGAGAACGTCTCTAGGACATCTGTCGGACATCCCCTAGTCACCCCGAAATTATAAAATTTCGTTCTGCAGACATAGAACAGACATCCTAGGAGTGTCCTTTAGGTTTGTAGAAAGCGGTCCTACGGATGTCCGCGAAGCTAAGATAAATGTCTTGTGAACATCCACCGTGCGTCACCAGGACACTGCAATGTGCAGCGTTACGTCTTCCGGACATCGCAAAATGCAACACCAAGACATCTTAAGGACGTCCGCAAGTTATGTCCTCAATTCCTCCTAGATGCGTCCGGGGGGTTCATCAGGGTTTACGCTCCACTCACCCGCGCCCATCCCCGTTTTGCTCTACTGAGGAGTGAGGAAACCCCTTCAGGGTTAACTTGAGTTACGTTATCAAATAAATGAATTATGTCAGTTCTTTGGATGGACTCGCAATAAATCTGAAGGAAAGTAAAAGCAGGAATTTTATTCACTATTACATTTACACAACTGTTCCTTCAATTATTTAAAAACTACAGAATTATCATAGTCATTCTGTTATTGTCAAATTAACTCATCACGGACGTTGGCTCGATATGGCTCTCGAGGCAACATTTCACCTTAGTTTCCTAAAATTTCTATACATGAACAATCAACATGAAACAATTTAGTTACTTTCATTATTAGTCGACCATCCTTTATAAATTCTCCTAACAAAGCATGAGTCTCTGTGGCTGTACAGTGACTCCGATGCAATGTACAAAATATACAATATTCCTTAATGTAGTACTTCAATTCTCTATTGATTTTCCATAATCATATACAAATTCCAATCCGATTAATTCATTCGTTACTAATTATTCACTACGGAAGGAAAAACTTCTATAAAAATCCAGAATCCAATAGTTGTCAAAAAATACTGCACATCAACTAAAAAATCACAACTTTTCATCATTGATTAAATAATATTAGGATTTGCCATTTTCTGTCTCTATCAAGGAAATCGAGACAATGTTCTATCTTTATTTTCATTTTTGTATTATTACGTCTTTCAACATCGGGATTGCATTTTAATTATAGTCCACACAGCACTTCTCCATAATCTCCGAGTCACTACCCACCTAATAAATATTCCTTTAAACATTATTATTTAATCGATATCGTTTCATTAAATAAACTCATAAAAGTAACGCTGCTTCTTACCAAAGCTTATAAAGGTAAAAACAATTAACAATATTTCGGGTAAAATAGAAAGGGGAAATAATCCTCAACAGAGGTAAATATGGAAACGAGTACCCTGAAGGATAACTAAGTTATCCTAGACTGACTCGGGTGGAGGATCGCCATTGCGAGGGCATGGAAGGGTCATGACTTCTGTCTGCTCTTTGAATCCAGAAATGTCGTTTTTTGAAGACTCCCTGAATTTTTCAAAACCGCCCTCATCAAGGAGACTTGTCCTCACTGCTCCATTGGCCACTGAGGAGACAGCTGATCGAGTGTTGATTGAAGGTTGAGTATGGTTGTCTCTCCAGGGAGTAGTTAGTGTTTTGAGTCTCTAGACAAAAATTATTCGTTGCGGAAATTATTACGCACACAGAGAATAGTATATATCGATACAAGTGCTGTTCCTCCCTGCATTTTCTTCAAATTCTATCTTTTATTCTATGTTTTAAGGCCGACCAACATCGAAGTTTTACGGACCACATTTTCTTCATAAATGCAGTAAGGAAGGTGAGTTATGTCATTCAGAGAATCGTCGAAAACAACGGAAATCTGAGGAATGAAATAAGCCACTTTCTTTCAAACCCAGCCGAAACCGAGGATTGGGATCACACGAGTTAGGAAATGTTTTTCATCACAGTGTCCGTAAAATACAATTCATGCCCGTCAAACGCCGTTTACAGACAGTGGAAAGGAAAATTAACTTCGTCACTCGGCCGAAAAAACTTTTCTGACTTGGCTTCGCCTCAGTTTACATCCTTTACACTCGCCCGAAAAATCTTTTTCGTGTCACGGGACCTGAAAAACCCCATTTTCGTGGCGTTGCGCGCCACGAAATTGACGTTTTGCAGGTTCCTCGATACGAAAATTAATATACACACCTCGCCATAGAAAACATATCACCCTCCCCCACGTGCTTGCCATCCTCGCCTTCGGCTTGGAAGGCAATCTTGCACGTGGGGGACGGTGATCTGTTTTCCAAGACTCGGGCATGTAATGTACTATTTCGTGTTGAGGGACCTGCAAAATGCCAATTTGAAATGGGGTTTTTCAGGTCCCGTGACAAAAATTAATATACACACCTCGCCATGGAAAACATATCACCCTCCCCCACGTGCTTGCCATCCTCGCCTTCGGCTCCGAAGGCAATCTTACACGTGGGGGACGGTGATCTGTTTTCCAAGGCTCGGGCTTGTAATGTACACTGTTGAAAAATGTTTACTGAAGTTTCCAGGCTTTAGTCTTGAAATATGAAACAAATGACGGTTTAATTGAAATTTCAGGGAATTTTACCATTGAAAATTCGTGGTTTTCGCGGGAAATTCACGAAAATGTTAAATTTCAGTTGAATTATCCCATGAAAATTAATGCAAATTAGGAAAATTCAAGCAAAAATGTCCTTGAATTTTCAATTTTTTGAAATTTCAGAGCATTTTCTTATTGAATTATCATGTTTACATTGGAAATTCATGGAAATTTCGGAATCTTTATGGTTCTTTCACTGCAAAATCAGGAATTTCCTTGAATTTTCAGGGAAACTTGAAGTTTCATAACCTTTTTTCCGTTAAATTAAATTCAGTGTCATTTTCTGGAAAATTCAGTTAAATTTTTTTAACAGTGTACTATTTCATCACGCTGTGCGAAAATAGTATATTATATCATTAGGCATAATATACTTTAGGTTGATAAAAGTATTGTCTGGCGAATGTGGCTTTATAATCCGAGCCGAAGGCGAGGGCCTAATGACATAAGTAACTTTTTAGGCACGCTTCGAGTGCCTAAAACTTCCATTTTCCACACATTGTGATGAAAAATATCGTTCGATACTCGTGGGAAAAGTGTTTTTTCCGCACTCGTACGAAATATACTATAACGAGCTTGTGACGAAATAGCTATTTTCGTCACCAGGCCGAAAAAAAATTTTCTGACGAGTGCGAGGTTTGCAGACCGAGGTGAAGCCGAAGAATGTAATCAGACGAGTCAGAAAAGTTGTTTTCGACCGGGTGACGAACATAATTTTTCTTCACACTGTCTGTGAAACGGCACTCTACGAACAGTGTGGAGAAGAGTTTTTTCCATCAAAATATAATGTTCGTCACTAGGCCGAAAAATACGATTCCGGTCTTGTCACGAGAATATCCACTTACGCACGTCCCGTGTGCGCAAAACCCCAGTTCACACGTATCCTGATGAAAAAAAAGTTCCTAATATCGACAATCCAGTTGATCATTCTGAGCAACTGCTAGCTCCAGAAGACAATGCACTGAAATTTCGTTTATTTCCAGAATTTTTTGCTTGCTAAATATCAGTGTGCCAAAATTCTCGAATTCCGAAATTTTTGCTGAGAACTAGAAACTTTTTTTCTCGATGCATATACACTTGTTTAAAGCAGGAATGAAAGCAGTATTTACGTGGCAGAAGCTTCCTGGAGTGACAATGAGTTTGTAAAGGGCAACCCCTGGTATCATCGTAATTGATGAGCCAGCAATGATCCATCCAAGGATGTTTGCCCACTCTGGATACGTGTAATCTTCATAGGAGAGGGGTTCGTATCCCATCAATCCGTAAACAATGATGAACTGTACGAAAGAGGTAGAAAAATGTATTAAGTCAGAATCCATCAATTCATATACTCATCCATTCACTGATTAATGAGTATAAATGAATGAATGAATAAATAGCGAAAGAATGAACATATGAGACATTATTCATGATTTACCATAATAAAAAGTGGCGCAACGAATTTCCAACATACTCTCCAATAAATTCCCGGAGAAAATCCAATCATATCCTTGATATCAGCGCAAAATCTGTCTGTACCATAGATCCAACTAACTGCAATTGCTTCAGCCAAAACTGCAAAGAGCATAGAGTATCCAGCGGCGTATCGATCGAGTAAATGGAAAAAATAGAATCCACCCTACGAATTGAAATTATTGCTCTTATAATGTTATTTCATTTAATACGGACATATTCTCATACAAAGATGAAATAAAAAATGTTTTTATCGATTTTACCTGTGAACACGATGCTAAGCCCACCAAAAAATAGACAGTAAATAGACAAGCAACAAAAATCTCCCGGTTATTTCCAATTAATGGAAATTCATCGCTGAGGGCTGTAATAATTGCTTCAGATCCTCCAAACTGCAATAAAGTAGTATATTTTTAACCGTAGGCGCAAAAGGTTCCCGAAAAAAGATCATGCATTGTTAAAGCTAACTTGGGTTTTTTCCTGGCGAAGTTTTTTTCGAGATTCCTTCTCAATTTTTATTTTTAGTTTGAGCCTTGTAAAGTGAACTTTCTAGACAGGTCCAGCAATGCATATTCCTGGCCTAAGCAGATAAAATGAAGGAATCGTACCCATATGCGGAATTATCACCCGAGTCGACGGCGAGGGTTTGAAGCACGTGGGTGATGATGACTGCCCATGGAAAAGAATCCACACGCACGGAGAGAAATTTTTTAGAAAAATTCTAGTGCTAGCACGGGAAATGAGGCGCAAAGTGATAGCCAGGAAAAAATTCCAGTGCCGGCACTAGAAATTTTATTGGGGAAAACGTGAATTTTTTCCCGTATTTCTGTGAAAATGTCACAGAAATCCCCAGAAATTTTACCAGAAATACCAAGAAATTTTAACTTAACAGCACTAGAATTTTTCACAGCAGGTGGATTGTGATTTTTTCCAGTACTCGTACTAGAATTTTTCTAGAAAATTTCTCTCCGTGCAGAGACGCATCCGTATAACCACTTAGATCGTAAGATTTTCCCGCCAATTTAATTTTCTCGACTCTGATGGGTGTACCCGGATGCGTTACTGTCATGCAGAATAGAGGAAGGAGGTCGAACTGTAGTTGGAGGCCGGTTCGATTCTGGGATTCAAAGTGGTTACGATCCTGAGTTCTTCTTGTGGCCTTGTGACAGCGCTGAGGTCACCCATGCACAACACCGACACGAATACTGTTGAGTATTTGGTGGTTCTGTTTTAATTCGGAATTGTGCACTGATAGATGTTTTTCATTTAACTTATTCGAATTGTTCAAAATTATTCGTTAGTGGAAGACAGATGCGAAGAGTATGTGCATTCTTCGGGTGCACACCAGGCACAGTGGATGATAGAAGACAAAATAAATAGTTTTTTTATGACAATTCCAATACCTCCTTGGTAATTTCCTAATATTTCAATAAAAAATATGTAATCTTCGTAACTTACATCAGCCCAACTATCCCCCACCCGCAGGGTTGGGCAAGTAAATTACCTTAGGTAAATTACATGGTTTTTGACCGGTCATAAAGTAGGTAAATTACCCGGGCGAGTTGTCGGCTTTTTGACCTGTCAAAAACCTATGTGGCGCCATCTATTAGCACCTTGGGGAACCGGGAGATTTGTACCGAGAATACCGCCTGTCAGAGTTACAAGGGTCAAAATTCGAAAAAATCATACCCACTGAGGTTATGCCTCAAGAGGGTCAATCGTCGCAAAGGTCATACCTCGCAAGGGTCAAACGTGACAATCATAACTTGCGAGCGTCAAATAATCATAAGCAACAACAAAGACCAAACGGAATAGTTTCAGATTATTTTTTCTTAATTCACGATCATTCCACCCTTGTCATTGTTCTGCCTACAGGAGAGGTAAGTTGAAAAATCACAAGAGTTAAAATTAAGACGCAGGCAAGCAGGAAAATCACAAAAGATCAAGAAACAATCACAAAGTAGGTAAATCATAAGGGTCAATCAGGATAACTCGGCCGTGACCTAGTGACCTGTTTGACCCTTGTGAACCTACTTGCTTTTTTTGTTTAAACTTTATGACCGTTGGAGCATGGTAATTGTACCGCCTGGCGTCCCCCGTTGACCCTCTTATTAGTTTCACCCTCCAGATTGCAGGATTGCTTCCGTTGTTTGACCCTTGCGACGTTTGACCCTAAGAAGGCATAACCCTTGCGATGTTTAACCTTCGCGAGGATAACCCTCGTGATCGTTTGATCTTAACGATTTCCGGCCGATGTGCCTCTCACTTTTGACCCTTGTGACTTTCTAGCTTAGCTTCCCTGTAAAGAGCTTTCCGACACTTTTTGACATTTTTGACGCCCCAGAGGTAAATTACCGGTATTTGACAATGTCACGTCATAAACTTCCATCTGCGAGATATGCTCAACCCTGCCCACCCGTCATCGTGCAACTCGGCGATCCTAATGCCACCTATAACATCGACCAGCCCGGTTTTCTGCCCTATGCCTAGTGTACGGAGTTCGGCCTCCTTTCTCTATTCTTCATGGTTAGAACCGTATTTTCCGTCCCGGCGTAAGCGCAAAATCAGCTTTGCGGGAGAAAAATACGGCACCACGCCTACGCCGGAGCGGAAAATATCGTTCTAACCACAGAAGGAAAAGGCCCCTCAACTACGTCTGGCCACGTTAGGTTTCGACTTGGGTAGTAATTTTGTACGTGGGCACGACTACATCATTTTATCACCCTACGTTAGAATAGTACATTATAACACAAGGCCGATATGTATATTTTCGTCACAAAGCCGGAAAAATTTCTTGTCACTGTTGCTACGTTCACCTCGTGGCGAAATGTGCAATATTCTGTGGCGTCACCATATGGCTAATATGCTATATGAACTCCCGACAGTGAAAAATGATTGCCGTATGAGGGGCGGCGGAACTCGATACCCGAATCGAAACATTTGGTCGGTTTTTAGTCTTATTTACCCATAAATGGTCGGTTAAAGACCTAAAAGTCGCATAAGCTGGCTTCGAACCGATCTCCTGGTCGGTTTTTGACCCAACTCAATTTTTCGACTACTTTAGTCTGCTGAGTGAGCGTCAAAAGCTAGGTCAAATACCGACCAAAATGATAATTCTTTGTGGGACTCAGAAAAATTTTCAATCGTGGGACTTAGAAATATTCTCAGTTGTCGAACTTAGAAAAATTTTCAATCGTGGGACTTAGAAATATTTCCAATTGTGAAACTTGGGGAAATTTTCAATATTTGAGCTTGGAAAAATTTATACCCTTCTGAGAATCTTCTGAGATATAATGAAAACCTTAGAGTTGAACAAAATATAGTCAAATAGTACAAAGTATAGATTTTCCTTTATTCATCCTCATTGTTATTTACACGTTCACTTATATGTAAGATACATTCTCATATTTAACATAAGAAAAACACTGATTAAATTTTCCACGGATACAATCACCTGCTCGTCGGACATTTGGCACTTCCAAATGTGTGGCACTTCTATTATTTCAGATTCAAAACCTGCCGATAGCTTTTCCGCGGTATTAACCAACGGAACAATAGCGAAATGCTGCCCTGCACATAAACATTGATTTTTTGAACATCGACATTCGCTCAGTTTGACAAACTCCATAATTTAACCGAAAGCTTTTCACCAGCACTAGTGAATGAAATGAATGAGGAATTTGTTCGTAAATTTTTCCTGTATGATTCTTCCACGTACAATAATTTATCCTTTAGCAATCGATGATAACTTGTTACAGCAAAAGTTTTTCCAGTAATGCCTATTCCAGTGAATTGATGTAGATATTTTCGTGGGATGCACTTGACATAAGTTCCAATACTACAGCAATTTCTAAACGAATCAATTATTTTCAATTGTTTTTTTTATGCATGACAAAACTGAGTAATGGCCCATTAGGTAATTTGGATAATTTCGAAGAGAATTTCAGATACTGGCAATGTGAATTTGCTATTTGGGATTCTAAATCAGTAGTGCTATGGACCAGTTTGACTAATTGCCCATTAATATTTTCAAAGGAAAAACACGAAATCACCCATAGAGGATCGAATCTGCGAACGTCGTCAGGCAAATGAAGTAATTGATGAACATTAATGCTGCAAAAACGTACCCCATACAAAGTTTCAAATTTTTCAACAAACTCATGAAGGAGTTTTTTCGCTCTTTCTATATTAATCACAGATACTTTGTCAGCATTCAATAATGAAATAGCTGTCACTAATTGCATATAATGATCAAAGTATTCTTCTGGCATAATCAAAGATAATATTATTGGAGAGTAGTAAAAAAACCAACATTTCAATTCTGAGGCCTTCCATTGTTTATACTGCAAAATGCTCTGGGGCATTCGATGAATAAACTTAGGGGGCTTTATTTGCAATAGAAAATTGTCAACCACGTGTGCCACTGAATGAAGGGAGAACCGACGAGTACTGTGAGCAGAGTTGAATCATAATATTAATAATTTTTTAGCAATGCCTTCATAAATCGCATGCATTGAATCTATTCCTGTAGCGCGAATATAATCAGGCATGATTGATTCAAGAGAGCTGAGTCCTTTTATTCCCTTCACTGACTTCGTATTAGCGATTAAATTATTTTCGGTTATGCCATTGAGTGCCATATTAGCATAAATCTGCGTTTGCTGGAGTGTACGTGTAACCCAGTCTTTGATGTATCGATAAATTAATAAAGATTTCCCCGATAGCAGTTTCGTAGCTTCTGCTTGACGTTCACAGACAGGACAGTCAAACTTACCATTGAATTGACTGATGTTTAAAAACAAACTCTGCGGGCAAATCACAGGTGCCACATAACAATAACCCACGTAAGGAAATCGTGAGATTTTCGCTTGATATTTTAATATCAATACCCCGATATAGATCTTTCAATTCCTCGTAAAATGAATCAACAAACAAATTCGCTGCTGGCTTCTGTGATCCGAACCATAAACCAGCAAGAATAGTATTTTCTCGAAGGACACGATGACCGTAGGGCAATTCGTTTATTCATAGATAAAATGGCCAAATACTAGTCTGTGAGCTTTTGAATACTGGCACACCATCGGTACACCAGGTCAATGATATGTTTGCTGGAGAAGCTAAAAAAATTTTATGATCACGATATAATTCTCCGTCATAAATATCTGCAAAATTATTGGCTGGTTGCTGGCGATTGCGCGAATGTTGTAGTAATTGATAACACCCATCTCTTTTTACGATCATTTTTAATTGATGTATAATGGAAAGTTTAACAAAGTATCCAATGTCTGCATGTTTTCCACATCGCGCGCATCTCTCTTTCCCACTTTTCAATTTCGAAAAACACTCTTTGCAATAAAAACTTTTTTCCCAAGACTTTTTAGTAAAACCAAAG